GAGGGAAACAGTTATTTGGAAACACTGAGATTTGAGGAAAACAATATTAACTGTTTCCCGAGGGACCAGTCTTTAAGTAATTTGTTTATTTAATTATACTGTTGCTCGAAATTTTGAAGCTGGAAATTGACCACTCCAGAAAATACCATAACATACCATAATGCTCTTTGTTTGTCACCCTCAAATTTTGCATTATAAGTATTGTTTCCAGTTGCTCTTGGGGCCATTTTAATTCCCAATAGAAACTGAAGACAATGCTTATGCAAAATTTTGGGGTGACAAACAAAGAGCATTATGGTATGTTATGGTAATTTCTGGAGTGGTCAGTTCATTAATCCTCGCTGAAACAGCGGTTGTTGGTCAACATTAATTTGCGGGGAACAGTACACTGTTACCCTCTGAAGTCATAGATTTTGCAATGTTGCCTGCGCAGAGATTTTGGCGGGAAACAGTTTCATTGTTAGATTTCATGTGACGTGGAAGTAACCAATGAGAGTGTGGGCTGTTGGAAAAAGATTTCCAGCTACAGTTGTATATAACTGATGTGTAAGTGTATAACCCTTCAAGTCCCAAGAGTAACCAACTTTAATTTCTTCAATGCATATCAATACATCATCAAGAAAAAAGATTATGGGAATAAATAAAACAAATTTACCAAAGGGCAATTGCTTAAATCCTGCATCAAATTCTCTCAACATTCTTTTACAGGGATCATATTAGTATTTTTTCAAAGTTGTCAGCTGGGCAAGTATGTCTAGAAATATACTTGCCCATTAATGATTATGGACTCATTTAAGGAGGTTATTGTTTTAAATGTGGGGTATGTTTGGGTCGAGACTTCACAGTGAGAATCCCACTTGTTAGTAACTGTCTTCAGGGAATTTGAGGAATTTTTAAGGCTGTTGATCGGCTTGAAGTATAATACTCTACAAATACGAGTTTAAAAGCTTCGTGACAAACTTTGCTGAGCAAATTGCCTTCAGCTTTTGTGGTTGGCGGAAAGCTAAACCGCATTGGAGGTCTTTAATGTCAAATAAAAAAATCTCAAAATTAGTCGTCTGTTGGACGAGTATTTTCGTCTGGACAATGTTGTGGTCGTCTCGGACGTCCTGACGACCGCAGATATGGATCCCTGCTTTAGAGAAGGTATTGAGATCAGTCAGAAGAATTTGTATGTGTGGCTTAAAGGGATTTAAACTTTCAGTAATTTATCAGCTTGATAAATCAGTATGATTGGCTTTCCAATATGTAAAAGAATTGCACCTTTCTGTGCCTAGTGGGTTGTTATATATTGGGACCGTAACCTTTCGACCGTTAAGTATACATCAAAACATTTTCTGTCTCTCTTTCCGTTGTTAGCTTTACACCGCTTTCTTTAAGAAAAATGTTCTGGAAAAACTGCAGGACATGGACGCTATCCTTTCCATCTTAAAATCTCTTGGCTACGAAAAGACGCTGGATGAAGACCAAGTTCAAGTGAAAGAATCAGTCGATGCAGTTCGTGCTCTGTGGGTTTCTTTGGACCTCTTTCTTGTTCAACTTGATTTACAGATTATCAAGGAAATCATGGACAATTTCACTGATAGCAAATTGTCGCTAANATCCTTTCCATCTTAAAATCTCTTGGCTACGAAAAGACGCTGGATGAAGACCAAGTTCAAGTGAAAGAATCAGTCGATGCAGTTCGTGCTCTGTGGGTTTCTTTGGACCTCTTTCTTGTTCAACTTGATTTACAGATTATCAAGGAAATCATGGACAATTTCACTGATAGCAAATTGTCGCTAAAGCACTTTATCAAGGCGCGGGCAAGAACATGCAGTGTAAAGGACGCTTGCCAGGTTCTTTCCGCTGCTGCGGCCAAGCGAGCAAAAACTGAAAAGGTACAAGACAGCGGAACTTCCTCTCAGAGGCAGCTGACGCCAACGAAGATTGGAGACATGAACACCACTGAAGATGTTATTCACGTACCAGCTTATGCTGTTTCAAGTGCCGATTCAGAATCTAAGAATTCTGATCTGTCAGCTGTTACCGAGACCACAGCAATGGATACCGACGAGACTTTGACTGTTACTGAAGGAATCACATCAGTGTCGTCTTCTGGTACATATACACGTTCCAGGGTCGATGCCATTCACGGGTATGTACCCTCCAGTAAGCACCCTGCACCATTTATGGGTATGAATATTAATGATCGAGATTTGTACGGTGCACACGCTGAAGAAAACCAACTTGAGACAAAACAAGAACGTTTCGTTGCACCTCATGGTACATCAGACCAAAATCGGTATCTACCTGAATTTGATGGCACTAAACTTATGGTGGATAGATCGGAGTTAACTTCTCAGTCACTTCCCCACCTGGGAACCGCAACTTCGCCACTCCCAAATTATCGGTATTCCACTCAGATCAACAGACAGGTTAACTGGAGGGACCGTCACGGAATTATTGTTAACGTGCAGAGTGGTAGAGTACCAGCATCGACCAGAATCCCAACTTATACTCATACAACTGATACCGAGATTAATACTAGCACTGGAAGGCAAGTCCAAGGGTCTTACAGGTCCGATAAGTACTCTGGCCTGCCAGACATACAGGGTGCAGCCAGACATCAGTTTGCATCTAACGAATCTTTCCAATCCTATCGTCAAAAAGAGACTGAAACTCAGCAGAAGAACTCGACTGCCGTGGGAGATCGAAGAAAACTACCCGCTGGTGAGCCAATGGAAGTGGAACCGTCGGAGACAACAGCAAATCACGTAGAGAATTTCAATTTTAATTCAAGAAAAATGACTGAAGGACCATATGCCGGACGTGAAGCTCAGTCTGCTGTTTCTGAATACAACCCTCGGCCTTCTCGGTCAAACGATGTCGGTGGAGGTGCATATTCCACACCCAAAGCTCAGTCTGGAGTTTCTGAATACAACCGTGGACGCGAACGGTCTTCTCGGTCAAAAGAATCGACTGGCGGAACATTTTTCAGTTCTGAAGCTCAGCCTGGTGTTTCTGATTTAAACAAGAATTTGCATAATAACTTGACACTCGCGAACGGTGCTTCCAAAGAAGCAGCTGTACGGAGCACCAGCGCAAAGGAGGCTACTCCCTATGGAGCTGGGACCATAAGAGTAGAATATCTACCTGGTAGAGATGATGCAGCTGTGTCCCAATCAAATTCGTCGCCCCTGCCAAATGATGTCACTGGTGCACGTCCAGTCGATGGTCGTGGTTATTCTTTGTACAAGAGGGAAGAAAATGGTTTATCCAATGACGTCCGACGGAACACGCATATTTCCACAGGTAGCAGTGCCACCCGATTCCTTCAGGGTCAGAGAAAGGCAGATGAAAAATTTCCGGAGTTTAAATCGAAAAGGGATGATTATTCTGAAAGATCTGGAAAGGATCATCTTCATGGAACTGAAGCTTTGTCGGTAAAGAAGAATCGACAATCTTCTGATGGGGCAGGGACGACAAGCAATCTCAGTTCAGGGGATAAACCTACAGTATGTAGTCATTGCATGCGGCCAAAAGGAGAGCTCATCTGCCAAAACTGTCTTTTGATTATGTGTAAGGCATGCGACAAAATCGCCGAAACTGATCTCTGTGAAAGAACCAAAGGCAAGCATGTCTTTATGGAATTAAAAGATGGAGGTGTGAGCAAGAAAACTGAAAACTCAAGCGATACTACCTCATCCAATCAACAACTTTTCAGCCCTGTTTACGAAGGAAATGAATGGTCATGTTCCCGATGTACTTTCCTTAATCAACTGGAGCATAAAATATGTGTCATGTGTGGTGCAACTCGTGGCGTCGGCGATGTGGAGAAATCGAAACCTGGCAGTAGAGTGTGCGGGAAATGCACTTTTCACAACGAACAGGATGCAACCGTGTGTACAGCGTGTTACAAGACTTTGAACAAATCAGAATCATTTGTGTAGGAAACTGTTAGAGTTAGAAAAGTGGTCGCAGGAATCCCCGAATTTTTTCATGGTGCTTTCTGGTAAACTGAGCTGATCGTCTGGGGTACTGGGGGGTAACTCAAGTGAATACAAGTTGTTTGTGACTGTTCGGGGAGTAACCTTAAGATAAACATGGTTTACTGGTGAAGTATAGACTTGTCTTTCACTTGATTCCTCGTCAGACCTTTGCAGTTAGCTTTAGTTCCGTGCCAAAACATGCTCGATACAGAAAACACTACAATTCGGTACCTCCATTAAGCGGCCACTATCAGCATTACTGATCCACCAACGGCCGTCGCCTTCTATCTCGGACTGTATTTTCTTGCGTTTTTAAAATTAAGCCAAACTGAGTGTATCAAGTGCTCTTGTTAGGATTGCCAAAAGGTGGCCGCTTGATAGAAGTTTCTTCACAATTCATTTCTACGATTGCTTTGGGATTTTGAAAACTGGCCGCTTAATACGGCTGCCAAGAACTCAAAAAAGTTGTTTTATTTGTAAAATTTAAGTGTTCAAAGGTGACAACCACCCCTCTAATAACTATGATTACACATAAAATACGTGTCAATTGAAAAAAATCAGGACACTTAAGGAATAAGCTTAGATCTAGGGACATACTGCTACCAGTCTCAAGTTACGGAGTAGAGCCTTATCGCATGACCCGAATTTCTTTACTCGGCTTATAAAGAATAGGGACTGCTCGTATTCAATGGATACTCGGTCAACATATGGGTGGACACATTGACATTAGATTTTATTGAAGCCAATGTAACGAATTAAGGTGAAATTGTTAAGGTGGCTGAACACAGTTTCGCGGGCGGTCAGCGGTAACTCGCGTGACGGCGAGTGTTTTAACTTACACAAACAAACATGGCGGCGAAATGGTACACAGAAGACGATTTCTCATTAAAATTTTGTGATATTTGGCAGAATTTTGACTTTTATCGTATTTTAAATAATGAGAATTTTAAAATGGATGTTGAACAGACGATTTTTATGACACGTTTAATAATTACAGTACAATTATATTATTATCTAAAAACCCCTCTGTTAAAATTTGGTCAAATAAGTTTCAAATGGTAATGATTAATTATAGTAAGCTGTGTGCAAGTTTATAGGAAAACTGTAATGATTGATTTTTCTGTAAACTGAGCAAAAGTGAAATTTTAAGCTTGTATTCAATCGTTCATGTTGCCATGGAAACTACGAAAAAGTCACATTTTACCTGTCCATCAAAATCTTTCATCAGTATATTTTTGACTCTTGCCATGATTTGGCAAATGACATATACTCACAAACTGCCAAAACTGTGTTCAGCCACCTTAAACTTTAAAAACAGTCGACTGTGTGTATAAAAATATACATATGAATTTGTGGATTTATGATAGCCTTCTCGCATGACCCAATTTTTTTTACTCGGCTATTAAAGAATAGGGACTGCTCGTATTCAATGGATACTCGGTCAACATATGGGTGGACACATTGAAGTTAGATTTCATTGAACCCAGTGTAACGAATTAAGGTGAAATTGTTAAACTTTAAAAACAGTCGACTATGTGTATAAAAATATACATATAAATTTGAGTATTTAAGATAGCCCAAACGTAAGAACGTTAAATTGAAAAACATTTTTTTTTTGTATTATCTTGTTTGTAGCTGGATAATAGCTGTGGTTATTTTGTTGCTGGTGTTGTTGTAATATTTACTGTACTATCGAATTATATTTGATATTTTTACTCAGGGATGCCGGAATATTAAGGGGGGGGGGGGGGGGGGGGCACGGACCGAGTCGGGGAAGGGGGGAGTCATTTTTCACGGTCGTGAGCTCGTTCATAGTGCGTTTATGCAAGAGGAGAGCAGTTAGGAGGGAGGTGGGGGGGAACGGGGGCCCACCGGGTACTGGTAAGTGGGAATACCATTCTCTTTGGCTGCGGTGATCATACCACCAAGAGATTGGGGGTTTAGCATTTTACGGGGGGGGGGGGGGGGTGGTAAAAATTTTTGAAGATATGAAATCTCTGGCTTTCAAAGACACTTAATCGTTTGAATGTTTAGTTTTTCTTTTCCTCCCATGCACCCTTTGCTAACGGCTTACATTGACCGGTTAGGCTTAGTCATTAGCCATTTGCACATCTCCCATAATTCACCTCGTTTGCCCCCTCAAAATTTTGCACAAAAGCAAAGGTTATTACAAAGGGTTTGGGGACAAACAATTTGTATTATGGGAGATGAGCAAATGGCGAATGACATGACCTATCGGTATTTTTCAAAGAAAAAGGGTTTTGGATCAGACTCCTGCGGATGAGTGCAATTCTGGCTGAAGAGGCAAGAGAATGGGTCGTCGAACGAAGTCTTTATACTGTTACAACGTTGACTCCACTCTTCCCTGTAATTTCCTATTCTTAGACTTCAATAATGGCATGCTGCTTTCATATTTCCGCGATAACTCTACGCATTCCGCCATTATTGTTAATGATTTCGATATGGTCACAGCTTTGCTTGGACGCGTTATTATAAACAGACTCAATAAAAAAATATATAAAAAAATAGATAAACGAGTTGATTTTGAGAACTGCTTTTAGCATGCTCAATAGTAAAACTAGAGCGTGATTATAATAGTACGGGTAAATGAATTGTAGGACTTGAATTGGCATTTTATTACTATTTAGTTTCGTACTATTCAACTAGAGAAGCACTCATCGGATAAAATTGCCAAAAAAAGCAACTAAATAGTAATAAAATGCCAAGTCAAGTCTACAGTTAATTTATCCGTCCTATTATAAATAAATAAATAGATAGATAAACAACTAAGTAGATAAAAAGATAAGGAGAACTGGCGCTATCCCGATCTAGCCGTCCCATTACCCATTTCCATCCCTCTACCAATTATTAACCTTGAAAGAGTGGGACCGACCCTTTTTCCGAGAATAACATTATTTTCTCGTTTCATGTAACGAAGTTTGTAGATTCGCAATTTCGATACCCAGCTTTATGTTTAAAATTTCTTCATGTCGTCAAAACTTGATAGAACAGTGACAGGCAACGATATATGCGGCGTTTGCGGTAATTCGAATATCTCGAGCATTTGTAATAGCTGTCAGATGTTTGTGTGCAGGAAGTGCCTAAAGCAAATCTGTAATGTACAACTGTGCAGTGAAAGTAAAACTAGAAAGTGTAGCTTTCAAGAGTTAACCAAGATATCCCAGCAACGATCTCCTGAGTTTGGAACTCTTGGTAGCAAGCCTATAGTTAATGTAATTGAGGACACGACGGAAAGAGAGGAAGAAGCCACCTTCTCCAAGCAACAAGTCTCAAGCCCTAGCGTCGAAGAAAAAGAATGGCCTTGTGGACGATGCACTTATTTAAATTCATCAAGACACAGGATATGTGTCATGTGTGGTGCAACTCGTGGCGTCCAAGATGTGCAACAATCGAAAGTTGGCAGTATAGTGTGCAGGAATTGTACTTTCCACAACGAACAGGATGCAACTGTGTGTAAAGTGTGTTACAGGACTTTGGACAAACCAGAAACATTTGTGTAGGAAAGTCTGTAGTACAGTTCAGGAAAAAGGTCGTGGGAATTATTGAATGTAGATGCATTTGTTGGGAGTGCTTGCACTCAATTCAGGGAAGCAAGCACAATGGTCTGCGTGGCCTGTCAAAAGATTTTAGATAGCAGCGAGAAATTTGTGTAGGACAATTTGTTACTCAGTATGGAAAAATGGCTGCTGACTGAAGTGTCTTGGTTGTTGGAAGTACAATCACGAATTTTCTGTGTAACTCTACGCAGCTGACTACGAGGACACGTTGGCAAGCTATTCAAGCTTGTACTTGAGTAAACATCTAGATAAGAGCAGGGAACGACCGTTGCTAACCTGAATCGCTCGTTTTTCCTTTCAGAAAGATGTCAAACAACAGACCTTCTTTTAAAAGTAACTTTAATATCAATTATTTAAATTTAACCGCCTTACAACTCTCAATAACCTTAGTTTCAGAATATACAATATACATGATTGTATGTACAAGCAAGCAAGCGCTCAAATTGTGGGAAGGAAAAAAATGAAACTCAGAAGCGGGTGCGGTTACTAAAGCTCCCTTGTCCTCTCTTTCCTGTTTACAATGATCTTTTCCTTTAATTCTTCTTACCCACAGTTATTGGCAATAAACAGTTTGCTTTAGTTTGCATTTGCTTAAATGCTGCACTACTCACACTGTTGAGTTCCATTCATAGGAGAGAAAAAAGAAACAATCGATCAACTTAAAACAAATACACATAATCACAATTTCACTTCTCTTTTAGAGCTGAGAGTTCTGATTGATTCTTGGTACGCAAATGGCAACACATGCTATATGAAAAACTGACTCAAAAACTGACATTAACATCACAAAATTGTGATAAAAATATCAGACAATGCCGAAAAAGACAAACTAATCATGACGGATCTGGTGCATCCTCAACAACACGAAAAAATTCAGAGTTTTTGCTATTTTGTTTGGATATCTGTTTGCCCTTTTTGCTTGCAGCTCCTTTACATCGCAGATCGCTTCTGTCCAGTAAAGCCTCTAAATCTTTGTTGCTCATCATCAGTCCATCACTGGACACTATGCTATCATGATCTCCTGACGTCAGCAGTTCATGAAGTTCCTTGGCACCAATCACTTCTGTGTCTTGCTTGCCCTTAAATTTGCCTGCAACCCAAAAAATTCATCCACCACTTCATTTAGGTCTTCAGTCAGGTTCTGTTTTAGAAACCCATGTTCTTTTTGCAATTTCACAGATGACCACTTTTCTGCTGCCGAATTTCCGCACACGCGAATTCGTATGGATAGATCAAAATATGTACAAGAGAATCTTGAACGCCGGCTCCATTTATTGTAAGAGCAAGTTTTCTTGGTCATGTAAATGGTAAAACTTGTGTTTTTTACCTTGTCAGGAGAAAGTTTGTCAAAGTTTTCAATATACCTGAGCAAGGTATATTCACAAGGAAACCTTGCTCATCTGAATGAGGCTTTACACAACTTCAACAAGCACTAATTCAAATAGGTACAGTGTGCATGAATAAGAGCAGTCATTATCTTTCAGACAGGCATCTAAGTTAACTGCTTCTCAGAATTTGTTTATATACAGCTGTAGTTCTATCCATAGTGTTAGCAGTCAAATTTGAAAACAAAATTTTCTCCTCCTCCCTGTTATTCCCTGAGTTGAGAAGAAGGGGGTTGCACAGTGGGATCGTTCTACGTTTCTGGGAAACTGCCCACCTACCCCTCCCTCAAGCGAAGATTAACTATTACTTCACACTTCGGGCAAAATGTTGGCTTAGGGGAGGGGTGGGTGGGCAGTTTCCCAGACACATAATGATGATCCCATAAAGTTAGTATAGAGCCTGACAACAAGTCAAAAATTAATTAACATTTCAGTGGCAAATCACTCTTCCCATCAAGTACTCTACCGACCTTTGTGAATGATCATCTTTTCAAGTTTCCTCTTGGTGGATGCTCGTTCAACAATCTTTTGATCCACAGTGTTTGCAGTGACAAAGCGATACACAACAACAGGCTTAGTTTGACCAATCCTGTGGCAACGATCTTGAGCTTGCAAGTCTACCTGTGGATTCTAAAAATCAAATCTTATTTTAGCACAGTGCCATCAAAGGCTTAAGGTATCATCCACCCTTTAGGATCGTCTTTGTGTGGAATTGCGCTAGTGCTTGTAGCTTTAATAACTGATTACCCGCCTACAAACTGTACATTTTCTGCAAGCTTAATAGTTACATGTTACGGCTCATTTCTTTTTAACATCCAGAATGTTAGTGCATTTCAGGAAAGACTATTTGCCAAAGTAAATATCTCTGTAAATCTAAGTCCAGGACCAGCGAAAAATAAACAGAACACTGAAAAATGAGAGCATTCAAGGCTGTGATCTAAAGAAAATTGAGGGGAGCCCAGTGCTCTAAACCTGTAAAATCTAGGGTGCCAAGCATGTGATTTGTACGAAAAAACTGAGATTTTCTAGTCACCCGATAACAGGCGCCACCAGGTTCTGCTAGAGCTCAGCCCAGCCCATGGCATGTCAATCTTAGTACATACAATAATTATAATTTCATCCGACTTGATTGCAAAGGGTTCAACCAAACCTTTAACATAACCATAACATGAGCATAAACATTCACAGCTTCATGTTACAAACTAATCATAACATGTTGTCATCACACTTCACAATCAGTGCCTATGTGCACATTTCCAAAATGACTATAATAATTATAGTCATTTAATTCAAACAGTTATTTTTGAAGCTGGCAACTCACCCAATCACTGTCATAGATAATTGCAGTGTCAGCCACAGCCAAGTTAAGTCCAAGTCCACCAGCTCTGGTGCTCAGCATAAATATAAAAACTGATGGATCTGATTCAAATTTTTTTATCTAAAAAGTGACAAAGAAAACAAAGTAAGTACATTTTATCTTTTATGGGACAGTTTATAGCCTGAACGCTTCAAATATCTCAGGAATTTTTATTTTGTTATTACCAATCAAAGCAAAGATCGGGACATGCGAACTAGCCACAAAACCACAAACTAATTAACATTCTTGCTTGCGGTTCAGTTTTCTCATGCCTGATTGGCTTTCTTCTTGCAAGCAACACAATAACATTCTAGAAATATTTCTGGTGTTTGTGGTTTTCTTGGTGTGACTGTTATGACAACCATTAATGATTTATTATTCAAATTTCTGAATTTTCATGCAACTCAAAAATGAGGTTTGTGGCCATCCATTGATTGGCAATTTGTTTTGTACCATTAACTAGCTATGCAGCCACAACAATGCAATAGTGAAAGAAATAAAAAGGAAAATATTCACCAAATATGGGCAAATTTTCCTGGAGATGAAATGTTGTATAGCTAGAGACTGCTGGTAAGTTCAAAAGAGAAAAGAAAATTGATTTTGCAGTTGTGTCTATGTCCTCCTATAAGCATCACAGTAACAATTTTGAATCACAGTCGAGTAGTAACATACAAAAAAGTTTGATGTGCCCAAAAATTATTGTTGAAAACTTTTATGAGCAACCATAAGCTGGTCACTTTGTCATAATATCATTCATAATGCTGTTACAATGTATGTAAATGCCAAAGCGTTACTATTAACCAAAAAGATTTAGAGAAGAAAGAATCTTTGTAAATACAGTGGAACCCCAAAAACTTGTACTCAGATAACTCAAACTGTTTTTCATTTCCTTTCAGAGTTTGAGTTACCAGGCAGTGTGCAAGGAAAGTAGCTAGTGTCCGATAGCCCAGGGCTAGTGGAATTTGACATCAAAATTACAGAAGAACCCTGAAATCAATCTGCACATCAAAACGTTTTTGGAGCTAGTTGAAATGATGTTTGGGCTAGTAAATGTTAGCGTCAGCTTGACCGAAAGGCAAGCTGTAAAAGTGACTTCCTTTGCACCCTGTTCCCGGGGTTCTACTGTGTAATCATAATTATTATAGTTTTGTATGTACAGACCTCATCCTGTCGGTCTGTCACTTTCATGGACCCATCAAGCCTAGAGTAGCCATAATTTCTCAAAATACAGTAGTCTTCTATAATGTCCATCATGCTGGTCATTTGAGAGAAAATTAACACCTACAGTACATAGAGAAAACAGATAAAAATTACTACTTAACACACTCTCCATATCAAGACTAAGCCAGTAGCCATTTGAGGAGGAAATGGTTATCTAAAGGTATACTTTCAAAAGTATGGCAGGGATTGGGAAGGCAAAATAGACAAATGGGCCAAAAGCCCCTGACTTTGAAAAGTTATGGGGCCATTTTGTGAAAGTATGGGCCATTAAAGTCATGGGATGGGCCAGATGAAAAGGAAGACGGAAATGATGTGTGCAATTCGTGGAAGTGTGTGCAATATTTTGTGTATTTTCAATGTGCTTTACATGAGTAAGTAGTGAGTATTTTTTGCAGTTTTTTTATACTTAATAGTATTTGCACCCAAGGGTTATGGTATTTTTTTTTGCCATGTTTGAGGCAAGTTTTACAAAACATGGTATCTCTTTCAAACACTAGCCAGAGTGACAGCCACAAAGTCAGCCACTTGGACTGGAATTTCCTGTCTTTGTTACATGTAGGCCTGGAGAGTGTGAAGGGCTTACTTGTTTCACCAAATGGACCTTCAGATTTGTCAGTCACATCATTGCTGTTTTTGTTGGCCGACTCGGGGTTTAAATTCACCCTAAATAAAAACTTGAAAATCTAATTTAGGAACTTTCTTCAGAGGCGTTATCTCACTAATTCAAATGCAAATGGATTAATTTCAGCCAGAAAGACGAAAACAATGAAGAAAGAAGTTCGTCAGACAAAAATAAATGAACACGAAAGGTCATCTATCGAAGAAACAAAGACAAATGTTGATACTTCATATTTTTATTTGTCGCAACACAAAATTAATACACAGATTGTAGTGCATATCACTAATTACACGACCAGGGTGCACACTGGGCTCGATTGGCAGTGTTATAATGTGACATTTTCTAAATTTTTGTGCTATATGCAAGTGGTGCACGGCCTTCCCAATCCCTGGCACAAGAAGGAAGAAGTACAGATGTAAGGGGGGGTGGGGGGGAGGGGGGGCAGCTAAAATGGAGCACATTGCAATAAATGATTGTAAAGCAATAACTACAGTGTAAGAACATTTGAACATACCTTGTGCCCTCTCTTTTTAAGGACTGGCAACATACGATCAAGAAGCAGCATCTTGCCACTGCTGGTCACTATTTCCTCATCCACCCTACGCATAAGTGTTCCTTCCTCTAGAGGGCATTCCAACAGATATGGGTGGTTACAGCACTTCCTCAAAAGCATTAAGATGTTTGTCATGCGGACATTTACAAGTGTGCTTGGTGCACTTATGCAAGGGGAATTCCTGTCAACAAAAAAAACATTTCTGGATAATGAACAGTGAATCCAAAATGTTTAAAAACTACTTTACAGTACGGTACCCATTCTTGCATTAATTTGGCAGCTGGGCAAGGTACCTATTGAATGGAATCCTGACATAATGAGCCCCATTATGACCAAGAGCTCAGTGCAATGGACAATGTCTTTCACTCCAACAACATAAAGTAAATGCATGGAAAAGACCTTGAATCAGGGTGTTTATTAGGCATCAGAGATCTGAGAATCTTCGTTTATTACGCAGAATTCTCCAGCTAATGTTTAGTAGCCTATGAATATTTTTTATTTAGACATGGAGCCTCTTTAAAAATATTCTACTGTGATGTTACACCTTTCTCCTGCTACTGGAATTTTTAATGAAAACCCTGTTAATAATCCAGGTCCCTCCTTGGCTTATGACATTAAGGTTCCACTGTAGAATAAAATAAATTATCAAAGGAGTGATTTAAAGGATTCCTTTTATCACAGTGCTTCGTTCAAACCAAGAGGTAAACTGCCAAAATGATATTTAATTTTTATTAAGATACAAGGGTCCATGAAGTCTGGTAACCAACCTGTCATCACGTTTTTTCAAGAAGTCCTGCAACTCTTCGTCATCCTCATTTTCACTGAAAAAAAGCTTGTAACTGATATCTTGCCTCCCCTTTCTCTTTGGTCTGCCTGTACCACTAAGTTCCACTGGGTCATCATTTTCCTTGAAGGAGACAAGGGACTAGATACATTATCCATTTAATACCCATTTGATCATATGCCCCCATACGAAACTTGCAGCGCTGTACAGTGCCACAAAATCGCTTCAAAATAGCTGTAGAGCTAAATTATAGCTGTTTAGCAGCGTTCTAGAAGCCAAACAGCAGCTTAATTCAAGTTGCAGCGGGATGCAAAAGCGCTGTGCAGCCTTTGAAGCTCACGGCAGCGGTTTTGCAGCTTAGTTGCCAACTTTCAAAAGCTGCGAAGTAGCTGCAATAAGGCTACAATTAAGCTGCGCTCGATCTGATAGCACAACGTTCTTGAGATAACATGAATCGCCAGAAAAGCCTTGCTACAGATTACAGCATTTATAACGAGAAAACTTTGACTGTACCTCTAAGAAATGTGAGTAAGCTTGTTCGCAGGGAAGATCAGTTATTGAATAAACCTTCAAATTCTATGCTTTCATTAAATTTCATTCCGTGACTGACGGGTGTGGGAATGTTATCGCTAATTCCCTGGAGGCATTCTAGGCTGTAATCTAATTGGTCGGCACTTTTGCATAAGATCCCATTACATCTCTAGACAAACATTTGTGACCGTTGAATGAAAGGCGCAAACATTCATACAAATTTGTAAGTTTTTTGCATCTAGTTCTGTTTCGAGATGGAAGTTCTGTTGATGTTTTTGGATGGAACAGCTCAAAGGTATTTGTAAACAATGGCACTGTCGGTGAATTCTACGCAAAGTACCGATGAATCGAACCAGAGCAACTAACACAGATGCAAGAATCTTCGCTGGGATACGAATGCACTTACAAGATTCAAACGTTCACGATAATGTACATTCCTTAGTCCATAGTAACATTTAACGACGACCAAAGTAAGATTGGGTTGATTTCTTTCACGAAAAAAGTGTAACAGATCGTCGATCATGGACAAAACGTCAACGTGAGCAATGTCAGGCTTAACGTGTTGCAAGGAATCAAAATATCATTTGGCTGTTGTCCGGTGTAAACTTTATGTAGAACAGTCGCTGTTATTCTCTTTATTTCTTTAAAAAGATAAACTTCAATGTCTGCATGTTAATGGCAGTTCTTACATTTAGATGAGTGACCGTGACTGCTGAATATTTACAAAGCGAGACTGTTGCAGATTTGTTATGTCACTTGCTTTTGCAACACGTACGCGTGGATACTAATAAAGTATCAGTTGCATTTTGACTTTCTAGTGGTTTTTACTCCTCCTAAGGCCTTGTCAACTCCTCTACCATGGTTCTTTATTATTGTATTATTGAAGTCTGCATTTCTTTTTTTTTGTACTAACGAGTGGTAGGCCATTACCGGCAACAACATTCTTTGTCTTTTCGAAGCCACTTTGCAGCCACTTTGCAGCGCAGATCTAATTCGGGAATTTTCTGCACCGCTGCAACAGCGCTGTTTATCGCTGTCAAAGGGCTTTCCACTGCAGTGCAAAACAGCCAAAATTTGCTACTGCTGCAGCCAGCCCTTTTGCAGCTCTTCTTGAAGTCATTCTGCAGCGCTGCAGCAGCACTGCTAGTTTTGTACGGGCTTGTACAAATTTGCTTATAATAAGTAATGAAATCATTGTTGTTAATGAAATGCCATTGTCAATCCTCCTTTTCTCTACAGTGCACTGTGCAAGACGACTATATGGACCACAATGACTTAAAAGGCCAAAATGCTCACAAAGACCACCACTACAACAGGGACTACAATGCCCATGATGCCAAGGAGCATGACAACTACAACTACTACAGGGCTGACAACTAACCCACCTACCACTACTACCAACGGACTAAAACGACTGTGACCATCACAACTACTGATCTATTTCTTTCTTCTTGCTTAGAAATAGGGAAAATTTTTACCTTCTTGTTACCCACAATGTCAAGAAGTGTTCTGTCTAAGGCAGCTTTGTAGAACGTCTCCTGTTTTAGTGTCAGTGGTGCATAGACCAAGACCTCCTTCTTTGGTGGCAAGGACAATTCCACATCTGTCTTGAGGCGTCTCAGTAGGAACGGTGTGAGAATCTGACGAGTAAAAACAAGACTATTAACTAACACCAGTAAGATTAATAACAATTACCCTCTCCTCTTAGAACCTATAGGATGTGACTTTTCAGACCAAGCTGCACAGAATTTACGTGACTAATTGTGGCACATTAATAATGCTTCATGTTTTCACATAAGTAGGGTGTTACTGGTAACCAGAAAGGAAACCTCATCATTATATCCTCTTGCATATCTAATCATGCATAACCGGCCACTGGCATTATGTATATTAATTTTATGCTAATTGATTTACCAATTGATTTATTTCAAGTCTTTGAGCCCTTAACATCAGCAAGGGCAAGGACTAGAGCTTGTTTACTAACTTGACTTTTATAACTTTCGCTTTGAATTGACTGATCAAAAGCACACAGTCAACACTTACCCAAAGAGCTTGTTCACACTATTCTCCCATTTACAACAAAATTATAATTTTAATGAAAGTTATCTTAAGCAACACCCTTACAAATGAACTGTGAAGTAACATTCTTACAGCATGAAGCCGCTCTAACACTTGATGCTCCCTCTCCTGTTCAATTATTCGTTCACTTCCACCATCTTCATTGATGGCACTAAAATCAAACCACCGCTGAAAACTAACAGATGACAAAACATGCGTTAATCCTAACAATAAATTTCCCAACATCACTATACTGTATAATATGTACTGCCGAAACAAATAAAGCTTCAAATAATACCATCTCCTGAGTGAAAAAGCAAACAAACAAAATTCACCTTTCTAGGTCATCAAAAATGTCTGGCAGCAGAAAGTTCAGCAAAGACCACAACTCTGAAAGGTTGTTCTGCAATGGAGTGCCTGTCAGAAGTAGACGGTTTGCAGCCTTGTATGTCTTCAGTTCTCTGTTCAAAGAAAGAATAACCGATAACTTTAAAGGATGGACAATACCCTACCCTACACCTGAACAGGGATGTGGCTAAGGAAAAGCTGAGCAGGCTTATTTTTATTATAGCCAGCTATTAAATTTTTACTAAACTGCACCTTCAGAATTGTCCCATGTCTTTGCCTTCTAGTTTAAGGCAGCAATAAGCACCTTCTACCAGCAGCTGAATTTTAATGTAGCTACATGCCTGCCTGATGTTTCTGGCTCCCCTTTGATCACTATAATAAAATTTATTACATGTATGGCCAACATATTACAACAAGTCATTCTTACCTAATAAGTTTGCAGTTGAGGTTTTTAATGCGATGGCCTTCATCAACAATGATGTATTTCCAGTCCAGTGAATACATGCTTTTCTGATCTCTCATACAAATTTCGTAAGATGTAACAACTACAGGAAAAGCTGAGACATTGCCTTCAACTGTCACTGGCTTTTCCAACTTGGAGCGCATACGGAGACGTTCTTCCTGTGATCCATGGTAAAGTATAACAGGAATCTGATGGGTAAACAAAAAAGCTTTCAATTTTACCATATTAACATACACATCACTTCCAAAAAAATTCATATTACATTGTAAGTATCACAGCCACCTTTTCAAAATGATAAAATCACACCTTTGGAGCAAATTTGTGAAACTCGTGCACCCAGTTAGGCAGAGTGGAAAGAGGAGCAGCAATGAGGAAAGGTCCTTTGACACCCATTTCAACTAAAAACGCCAGCATTGATATACACTGCAATGTTTTTCCAAGGCCCATTTCATCAGCTAAAATACCATTCATTCCATTTTCATACAGAACCTGTGTAGAAAAAATCAGACAATAGGACCGTTTATACGAGAGAAAATAAGTCACGGCTTACTCGGGCCAAGGCTTACATAAGCCGCGAAAGGAACCATTTATACGAGTACGGCTTACATAAGACGCGAACTGCTGGTATAAATGGTTCACGGCTTAGTTTGCGGCCAGACCGGTCCAATGATGACGTAGTTTGTTTTGGTGCCTTGCGTAATTTGCGAAAAGCAAAACGATTGGCTTTGGTCTAAAAAATCGCCATATTTTACATTCTTTCAAATTAACATTACGTTCAAGATTAGCGTTGCGCTGTTGCGAAACTTGTCGGAAACCTCGACGAAAAGCTAGTAAGCGTTCAATCGAGTGGTTTGAAAGAGATGTTCCAGGGATGCATATGGATGAGGTGTTGTTTAGACAAAATTTTTTTTCTCGTGCAGCAGGTCACTTTCCCGCCACTGCAGCGTGCGTCTATCAGCCGTAAAGGTCTGGGATATAATTGAAAACAGAGCATGCGCAGAAATCGTTCACGGCTTCAGCAGGACGCGGACAACGTTTTAGTGTCGTTTATACGAACACTGTCACGTCCAAGGTAAGCCGCGGCTTGGATAAGCCCAACCCAAAACTCCTCGGTCAGGATAAGCCGCGGCTTGAACTAGCCGTGGGTTGAATAAGCCGTGAACGTAGATTTTGAACCATTTATACAGGGTGTTCGCGGCTTATATAAGCCGGGGCCAGGGTAAGCCGCGGCTTATTTCCTCTCGCATAAACGGCCCTAATAAGTGATTCTCCTCAGACTTCATAAACTTTCTGCATCTTGTCTAACAAAGGGTGGCAAGGGGAGTGGATATACATGTCTAAATAAAATGATATACTTATCTTACTGCTGTAGTATGGCCAATAATTATTCTATTTGTTGCTGACCAAACAGCCAACATAAGGGAAATGAGCATTACAAGGATAAGTTAAATGTACCATCGCAAGAACAATGCCTAGCTACTGGAAAAGCCCAGTTAACACTAACATTTAAAAATTAAATATATTATATTCTTAAATGTGTAAAATTTACTTGCATACAGCACTGACCTTAAGCCAAGCCAGGCCTTTTAACTGGTATGGCCTCAGAGTTCCACCAGTGATAAATGATGGCTGAATTGTTGATTTATCATCATTACTATTTGAGCAACTAGCCTGTTGACCAACGGGACAGGAAAAATTAAGCCCATGGATTGAACCACAGCAGTGCACTATGGTATGCTAAGGTCTCGCAATTTCCCAAAGGGAATTGGACATGGCCATGCCAGTAGGGGTAGAGAATTTACACTGATGGACCACCCTTAATGGACACAATAGATATGAAAATTTGTACATGTTTGCACTGGTTGTAGGAAGAGCTAAGGTGGATTAAAATCTTTCTCTCACTCTTGCTAAAGATACAGTTGGAACTACAGTCGAATTCCCAATAATTCGAACCTTCAAGGCAGGGGGGGCTGGCAACGGCCTTTGATCTTGCCGCTTTTCGGCTTTCCATGATCGCCCCAGTTGAGAAATCTGTCAATCATTCGAGAACTGTAGCGAGCATGCGCGAAACGGGCTGGGAACAACAACAACATCCAAGAAGTTCGTCTTCGCAGCGATTCGATAGTGTGAAGTGAATTCACTTTTGGCTCTGTTGGTCATTGCTTTCTTTGCTGTAACCGATTTTTTTCCGCAGTAATGTGGAGCTTACGTTTTCCTTTCTTCTGGTCTTGCGTTTGCCATTACATGCGGTTTACTACGCTAAGAACGAGACCAGTGAACAGTCATTGTACATGTTCCTTGATGCCCGACCTTTTGGCTCACTACAGGCTTTCAAGCTGTGGTTCTGTTTAGAAGACCCACAAAACTAGAAGAAGGGCCAACCCTCCAATGCGTATGTAGAAGAGTTTATATTTTCAAGTGAAAGGCCGAAAATTAATCCTTCGTGATATTAAAAATAGCGCGGTGGCCGTGGTCAAGTAGAAGAGTTGTCAGAGTTGTTTACGGTTTTATTACACCTTTAAGACGAAAAGAAATGATGATTGAGATTCTTAATTCTTCATCCTTGATTGTGAACTTATCCTGGCAGAGTTGCGTTGGATGATTGAGTGGTAAATGGTCAAATCTCGTAGTTCATGTATTTTGTTATGTACTAGAAGCTAAATAAATCATTCACTCTTGATATGCTTAAGTTCTTATCTTTGTGTGATCTAATTTAAACTTTACCGTAGTTTCTAAGAAATGAATATAGGCAAATGAAAGGGTAATTATTTTGTGTGTTTGGAATTCTCTTTTCATGACAGCAGTTACTACACTGCCTTCAGTTTCAGTCCTCATTCAATTGTGTTTTGTTTTGTTGCAAACAAAGAGGGAGAAATTATAAATATTTTATTCCAAAAACTACACTACCCACTGGACCAAGAGTATGGTTTAAAAAAGATTAGCTAAGGTTAGAAAATAAATGTTCAAGTTTGCATGTTTTGACAAGGACTGCATCTGGCTAAATATGCTTCAAAGGGAATTTATAAAATTAAAAAATGATGACATTTCTATTTTTGCCTTTCCTTTAGCCACTGTGATCAGTTTTTGCCTTATAGTTGCATGTAATGTTTTACACCTTTGGACATCAACCTGCCAGATTAGTTTGTGTCTGTGTAAAAATGTAGTTTACTGTTAATGAAATCAAAGTAAACCCTCTGAACTTAAAAATTGCCTTGTACTAGTGGATATTGAAAACACCATAGGATGCCTTGAAAAAAAAAGTAAAATGATTATTAAGATAATATTATTTACAGTCAACAGTAACAGTTAGAAACTTGTGTTGAGGCTGGCAAAAATATTTTTCAGAGACCATAAACCGTCACTGACTTTGCTGTTACAACAAGTGGTAAAAGGGAATTAAAATGTGAGATCACCTCCCTGGGCTTACACTGAAAGAGAGTATGGGTAGTAGGACACATTCGGCATTTCCCTACCCTTTATAAGCCAAGAGACCTTATTTTATAATCCTGATTCATTTCCTTTAGCATACAGAATTAAGGTAGCTTTTAAACTTAGAAACATGGCAAAAGTTGGGGGGAGGGGGTGGTATCAATAGACTGTACTCTATCGACTGATGCTTCTTCAACTTTCACAACCCAAACAGACAGCTTGTTCAAAACTCTAAAGGGTGAAATGGTCACCACCCTAAATCAGCAGCACATAGCCATCTAGGCCAAATAAGCCAAGGGTAGTATCGTAGAAAGAACTGCTGAGAGGATAGGGCTCAAGCCCGACAATAACTACTTTTGATGGTTGATAAAAAATCAATTTTACCTTGTATAATTTAGTTGTAATCACATTCATAACTTACACAAACAATAAACTTAAGCTGTATATTTTTCAAGCGTCACTCTTCTGATTCTCTTTATAAACTTTGCAAAACATTCAGTTTTCTTTTTTCTGTTTCCTGTACTTCAGTCCTTTGAGGGATTTTCCGAACGCATACTCTGTCCTGATGTACTCACTCTTATTAGCAACTTAATTAGCCTCTTGTTCTTACACTAAACCACTATAATCATTTCAAGTATAATTCTAATTAAAGGGTAATTTTTGTACCAACAATTTCAAGGAAATACTTGAAACCGAAATCACTATACAATACAAAACTACTAAATACGGTATTGCTGTTGGAAATTTATTGATTATCACTCCAATGACATTCCAGTGAAGGTTTTGAAGGTTCAGTAAACCCCTCCCAGCCTTCTGATATTAAAAATAGCTTATACTGACAGACCCAGTATATGTGAAGCAAAGTGATTGGAACATTTACCCTGGTTTTACTAAATTGGCCCTGTATTCTGTATTTAAGCCCATAAATATTTGTTGTGCCTCCTGGTGTACACAAACAAACTTACGAACAGCGAAGTAGAAAATCAGTGGTTTGATGAACATTCACATATGACTGTTGCAAGACTCATACCAATATATTGTGCTCGTAGCATATGTTTAAGATAAGGAAGAGAGTCTTAATACCACTGTAAGTGGAAAAATATAAGAGATGGAGGAAGATGGTCGCTCGAAAATTCACGAAGCGTAAAAATAACTGAATTTGCAGAGATCCCGAATCACGATAAGTGAAGTCACCCATGAACTGTTCATACATCACGCCTCCTGATGTCCAAAAGGTCCATTAAAAAAGTTCATAGAAACCTTTTCTTGATATTTGTACCCGGGAAAACTTAAAACCGAGCAAAAACTCATCGTCCTTCCATGTCTGCATTCTCTGCCATATTTGTTTTCAAGGAAAATTTGTACTCAGTCTCACTCGGCCGAATTTCTTAACTGGGGCGATCATGTAAACTTGGTTCCAGACCTCGCTGCCAGCCCCCCCTGCTTCAAGGGAAATAGAAAAGAGTTCAAGTTATTGAGGGTAAAATTATATGGAAAATGATCTGAAGGGAAATGAAAATTACCTGGAGTTAACAGGAGGTTCGAGTTTATAGAGGGTTCAAGTTACTGGGAGTCAAATGTATACAATAAGGTACATTACTATTCATTCAAAATATTTTTCCGATTCTGATTGGCTAAAAGCACACGTTTAATTCACCATAACTAGTTACTGATGACCAAATCTGGAAGAATTTTGTGTTTAACGAGGAAATGACGTCAAAAATGCAGCGTTTTCGCAGGTTAAGGCACCGTTAACTGAGAAGACATGGGGACGAGGTTGAGTTGTTTTGTTGTGAACTTGAAAAATGGCGGACATTTCACTCGTTTCAAGAGTAAGAACTAAGGCGAAAAATTAGCTAAAAACATGGCAAGAACAGCAAGAAGAAAACCCGAAGGGCGACATCTGCTATCTGGAGAATATTTGCGGAGCTGGACAAACCTAAATGTGCACTATTGAAGATGAACTTAACATCGATGAATCGATGGAGGTAAGCACGTTTTAGCCATGTTTTTAAACTAGGAATTATTTTGAATGAATAATAAAACAATAATTGAATTCGGCTTTCGTATCATATGAAGAATTATGGAGATCTAACACCCTCCTCGATCTCCATAATTCTTCATAAGATACGAAAGCCGAATTCATTAATTGTTAATTTATGGTAAGTCCAGCACAACTAATCAGTTTTTTTAAAGCACAACCTTTGGGATGTTACTGTGGTAAGCATTTCAAGATGCTGGGGAGAAAGATTTTAATGACAATGCATCCCACTACTTGTTTGTTGTATGCTAAGGGAACATTTTTAACATTTGTGCCATAAGCTTACAATATGCCCATGCTGTTGTTGTTCCCCATTCACTTGTGGCATTGCATGTGGCTCACTGGTGGATTTCATGGTG